TTCCCCTTAATATTAGACGTAATTTTTTGGCCACAAAATTGCTTTTAAAAGAATTTTCTATTCAGGATAATCCCATTATTCAGTCTGTTACAGAAGCTTATGGGGCATATAATCAATCATTTGGTTTTTGGTCAAGATATTATCATGTTCCTCCTCTTATTGAAGGCATTGATCAAATTTTTCCTCATGTTCAAGATGTTGATGTTGTTAATATGCATCATTATTATAAGTTTCCTCTTTATTTTAGTAAAATGATATTTAAGATTGGATTTAAATAAGAGTGATAATAATTCTATTAAATTTAGAGAAATTATTGAGTTAAAATTTAAGCAAAAAATAAAGTTTTTTACGGACGCTTCTAAGGAAGTAAATAAAAATGTTGGAGTGGGTATATTTTGCCCGGATTTAAATTTGGAAGCCACCTATATGATTCCTGGATATGCTTCCATATTTGTTGGAGAAATGTTTGCTATTATGATGGCATTGAATGTAAGAAGAATTGGAGGATTCTGTAATTTTTAGTGATAGTGAAAGTGCTTTACGAGCATTAGCAGCTTATCCAAATTTTAAGGACAGTCAAATTACATTTGCTACAAAACGGAAACTATTTGAGTTAAGAGAAAAACAATTTCGAATTTCATTGGCATGGCTACCCAGTCACACGAATATTTTGGGCAACGATAAAGCTGATCAATTAGCAAATATTGGAAAGACAAATGGTCGAGATGCTGAGATTAAATGTTGGTTTACTGATTTTATTCCAATTCTTAAGGAAAAGTTTTGGTCGTTATGGAAAGGCAGATGGAAGGAGATTTCTTGTACAAAAGGGAAAAATTATGCAGAAATTGTTACTTTTCCCTACAAAAGCATATGGTTTAGATCATGTAAAGATTTTACAAAGAAAAGATTGACAACCTTCTTCAGATTAAGAAGCGGATATTGTCTAATTCCGTCCCATTTACATCGTATAGGTGTAAATGCAGATTCCTTATGTGAGTGTGGAGAAATTGGAACGTTAAACCACATCTTTTTTGAATGCAATAAATTTCCCGCTTTAGTAGATAAACTATATAAATCACTTATTGGCTTTTACAAAACATCCCCTCATAATTTTACCTCCGCTTTGCATGCTCATCCACTTGTAGTTAATATTATAGGCGAATTCTTAGACAGTTGTGGAATTAATCTTTGACATTTTAAATGAAATTGTTTTTAAATTTGTTTATTTTGCAGGATCTTCCTTTGCCAACATTTTCTTCAACTCAACAGTCGGGGTATGGGATTTCCCAGGCTCGCTTTATAGCGATCCTCGTCTGTGTGTCATCATCTATATAAACGCTCAACCGTAGGTAGTTAATTCTACCATCCGGCCGGATAGCCCTGGCAGCTGTGACCATTAAACTAATATACTACTACTACTATATAACCTTAAAATGTCAAAATACTTGACACATAAATATACACTGCCCAAATGTTCGAAAAAAATGTGTAAAGAGTCCTATTCATTTTTTTTTGGAACCAGCTGTACATAGTCTTCACCAGTCACGTTCCAGGTAATAAATGGATTGGTATGGACGTCATCTACTTTTTTTCTGTCATCGTCTGTCGAAATCTTACTTGAGAAAAAAAACAGACTATAGTTTTCTGCTTACAAAGTATATTTTTATGTATGCCGTTTTATTTATTGACTTTTATGATTATATAGATGCAATAATTCAAGCTAACTTCGCCGAGCTACGTTGGATACGAGCATCTGCAGTGGCGCAACAAATGGCCAACGTTCAAGAGCTGCTCTAGCTGTTCGAATGTCGTAAAATACGAACGGCTTCGAGCACGTCGTCCTTCTATAAAATTTTATTGACCGAAGAGGGATTTAACTTTAAATCTATGTTTTTATGTATATGAATTATTTAAATGTATTTCTAAAAGTAGTTAAAGAATATTGTTCAGAAATAATCCGTGATAATGTTGGCCAGGTCAAGCAAAGCATTCGTTTTTGCTTTATAACTTTGTTAAATAAAAGGCTATCATAGACAAGGGAGTTGTGATAATTGTCATGAAGTCTATTTTAATTTGGAACAAAGAATATAACTTTGATATCTGGAGATTAGCGTTTCCGGAACCGGAGCTGTTTTTCGGAACCGGGAATTTCGGTACTGCGCCTCTTAGGAACTGGGATTTCCCGTTTTTTTTCGGTACTTTCGGTACTGACCAATTTTTGTTTAATGGTGGTGCAGTTCATCAATCAGAAAGCAAGGGATGGGTTTTCAAAGTAAAATGGATAAAAAATTGAGATTTTTAATGAAAATAATATCAAATTATTAAGTTATTAGCCATGAAAAAATTAACATGAACACAAGTAAAGAAAAAAGTATAGGTAACTTAAATTTCATATCAAACAACATAAATCAACTTAACTGAATTTGAGACAAAAACTCTAAAATATTGAATTAAAAATGCAAACATGACATAATAAATATTATAGGAACGTCAAAAGAGACAAAAAGCAAGAACAATTTCAAAGAGTTTGATTTCGGCCGCTAGAAAGTATCAAAGGACTTTCTCAAGTAACAAAAAATATTTTTTTTTAATTATAGTTGCCGAGGCCCGGTTCTATGATGGCCAAAAATATCTTACCGTAATTGGTAGTAATATAAATAATTATATATCGTATATAGCGTTTAACGCCTGGGGAGTAGCAAGGTACAGCTTGCCATACTAGAGCCGTTCGGTATACAAGGAAGGTAATATGGTTACGCTTCAACCGCCTATTATTACCTCAGGATTGTGAATCCCAAGTACTCATTTAAGGCTGAGTCGATCTAGGTACCCAAACTATTTTTATTTTAATAAAAATAGTCGGCTGATGAAATGCCGGGTGTAGGATTCGAACCCACTACCTTGAGATTGGTAGACGACAGCCTGTACCTCTACACCACCGGGTACTTCATATCTTATTCTTAATTGGTAGTATTAATTAGAATTTCCAGAACCGTACTAAAATATTTTCGCTCATCCATTGGAGTTCGTCATTTAGTAAGCAAGGGATGGTTCTCAATAGTAAAACCGATACAAAATTGAGTTTCAAATGAAAATAATCTCAAGTGATTAATTCATGAGAAAGTAAACATGAACAGAAATAATAAACCGAAGCGAGATAGAGAAAAAAAATGGAAAAAATAGATAAAAAAATGTGTTAAAATAATTACAACCTATATATTTGTTTTGTAATTATTTTAACAATTTTTTTTATCTTTTTAACATACCTTTTTCTTCTTCTTCTTCTTTTAGAAGGCGTATCGCCTGTTTAGTTCCGGTTTCCTCCTCGTCTAAGCAACTCTTGCGAGGTTGACTGCCAACTGTCTTGCCAACGTTTAGGTGGTCGTCCAGTAGGTCTTCTGCCATGGGGTACGTTGTTGCGAATTATTATGGCCATTCTGTCGGGGCCCATTCTATTGACATGCTGGTTCCATTCTCTTCTTCTCTGCCTTATCCATCTGACAACGTCGTTTGTTTGGCACTTTTCTCTTATGTCTACATTTCTCTGTCTGTCCCTCAATGTGTATCAGTTATCATTCTTAAGGTCTTCATTTCAGTAGTTCGTAGGATTCTCTTTGTTACTGATGTTTCAGCTCTGGTTTCCGCACCATATGTCATCACTGGTCGTATGCAGGTTTTGTATATTCTTGACTTACATTCTGTACTCAAATGTTTGTTTTTCCATATGGGATATTTAAGATGTCCTGATATTGCGGCAGCTTTGATGGCTTGTTTCCTTACTTCTTCTTCCAGGAATCCTGAGCTTGTAATTTTGCATCCGAGGTATTCGAATGACATTATCTGATCAATAGTTTTGTTTTTTATTAGCAATTTGCACCGTAGAGGCTCCTTTGTAATGGTCATGTATTTGGTCTTATTTGTGGAAATTTGAATGTTAAGTTTTTCTGCCTGTCTGTTAAAAGCTTGTAGCATTCTTTGGAGGTCGTCCTCTGACTCTGCAATAGGTACTGCGTCATCGGCATAGCATAATATGTTTACTTTATGCATTCCCATTCGATATCCTAATCCAGTATTCTTGACGGTTTTTATTACTTGATCCATGATTGTGTTGAATAACAGAGGGCTGAGACTGTCGCCTTGGCGAATACCAGTTGTAGTTCGAAGATTAAGTAAGGTAAAGTTTGTTCTTATTTGGGTTGTTGTGTTTGTGTTTAAGTCCTTGATAAGTTCTGTGAGTTCTTTCGAGTCATTACTGCTTTCCAAGATGGTGATGATGTCTTTTAGTTGGACTCTATCAAAGGCCTTTGTTAAATCTATAAAACATAGATAGGCTGGAGAGTTATATTCTAAGGATTTTTCAACTAGTTGCCTGAGTATGAATAGTGCATCGGTAGTTGATCGGTTTCTTCGGAATCCTTGTTGCTTCTCGCTTATTGGCACTATTGAGGAGATTTTGTCCGCAATAATCTTAGTCAGAAATTTTAGCGAGGTACTCAGTAATGTTATTCCTCTATAGTTTGCTGGGTCTGTTTTATCTCCCTTTTTTAAAAATGGGTATTGTTATACTTTGTTTCCATTCTTCTGGTATTTACTTATGTTGTAATATAACGTTAAACAGTTTTGTGTATTCCTCTATGATAGCCGTGCCTGCGTTTTTTATTAGCTCGTTTGGTATTTTATCTTGATTAGGAGATTTTCTATTTTTAAGTTTCCTTATTGTCTCTTCTACTTGCTTGTAAGTGATTTGCGCATGATCTTCTATATTATCTCTTTGGCTTGTCTCTTGTGCTTCTATTGGTTCATCTGTTTCTGCGTATAAGTCTCTGAAATAGTTTTCCCACGTATCTTCTGCAATTGTTCTTAGTTGTATTGTTTCATTTGTTTCTCATTTCAAACCCCTCAACATCTTCCAAATACGTTTTTGTGCTCCGTACATATCCGCCTCCATTTCGCTACTAAATCGCTGCCAGCATTCTTCTTTAATTTCTCGTACTCTATTATTAGTCCCGTTCCTTATTTCGGTATAGATATTTCGGTTCTCCGCTGTTGGAGATTTCTTGTATTGTATTTGTAGACATCTTTTCCCTTGTAATGTTCTTAACTTTTAATGTAAACCAAGGTTTAATGTTCGGTCTTCTATTGTGTGATACAGTACGTGTTCTTAAAGCTTCTTTAGCACCTTTGCAGATGTTTTCTTTCAGTTTGTTCCAAGCTGTGTTAGGAGTATCAAACTGTGCTATGGGGTTAAGAGTGACATGTGTTTGGCATCTGTTTGAATAAAGTTGTTTAGTGCTTTCGTGGTTGAGGGATTCTATATTGAATTTTTCAGTGTTTATCGATGGTCTTTTTTTGGATAGCGGCGCACCTATTCGTATCTTTCTTAGCACAAGTTTGTGATCTGTTCCAATGTTGGCTGAGCATAAGACATCCAAACGAAGACAAACCAAACCAAACCAACCAATCATACCTTTTTGTAAATAATAAATAAAGGTTGTACTTTGGTATAAGGTATATAACATTGATGAAGGCTGTATTGTGGGCCGAAACCTATAGACTAGATAAAGTTTTTTAAACAAGATGAAAACATAATTTCAGTGTTTCCGGAACCTAAATGTCCCAAGAAAATTAATTTATGGATATACAATAATATTTATTGTGCATTATAAAAGCAAATTAAATGCCGAAATCATTAGTAAACTCACTACAGAAACTAACTAAAGCTAAAAGTTTCATAGTTTCCGAGTGGTAAATTTTAATTTCCATTCATGATGACTGGTCTTGCGCGAAGCTAGAAATAGTCTTCGCGATCTTGAAATTCTGAGAGGTTGCCTTGAACTTCCTCTAATTAAGTTGCTAGCTTAAATATGTTCATGCATGGTTAACGTCTTGAATTTAAATAAGTTAAATTCAGTGGAAGGTGTACTCGTAATACTAACTGTTTAACGTGGTTCGCATAGTATTTTTTGCTCTAATAATGAATTGGTTTTTGCGAACAGGAAGGAATTACATATGTTTTGATATGTAATTTTGAGCAATTTTTTTTTGATTCATGTCAATATACAGGGTGGCGCTAAGGCGAAATTTTTTGAGCATATGTAGGTTAATTCAGAGCACTTTAAAAATATAGAGAGTTCTACAGGATGTCCCCAAATAAAGTTATATATCAAAGTTGTGTTTTTTGTTATGGAACACCCTATATATTCATTGATTTTCGGATTCTGGAAGAAAAATAAAGACGAGTTTTATCAGAGAAGTATATGACTAAAATGTAAGGTTTTTGACATATTTAACATTTTCTAAAAATAAAGAACAATTTTTAAATTACAATAAAAGCCACCTAAATTGGAATTTGCCCGGTATAGCCTAATATGTAGTTAAATTAACTATTGCACTTTAAATCAAATTAAAACTTGATCCGAAAAATTATACAGGGTGAGACAAAATTAATATTGAACATTGGTAACCTTTAAATGCGTGTTACTCTTTTATTTTATTTTATTTGATTTGAATTCATGTCTCTTCAAAATACTATTAAGGTTGCCTACCCCCCAAACAAAGATTTTCCGAGATATTTTCATTTACATGATTTGATCTGAGTAGGTCTTTGTTATTTGATAAAATCTAGGTGGCTGAGATAAGTCTGACGTTACTTCAACATAGCTGTCTAATTAGTCCAACTTTATCAAACCACTAATTACTAAAACTAGTTATTGCTTACAATTGCAGAAATTTGCCGAAAATGCAAACTTATCCTACATCAGAGAGAATTGATATGATTGTATTACGAGTAGTGTGCATTCACCAATAATTAATAGAATATTTTATTCTCCTGCTTTTATCTAGTTATCGGGTTTTTTTATGGGTTTTATATGTTAAAGACAGTGTTTACAAAACTCGATCAACTATATCGACAACATGAGAGAAATGATTGTAGCTGCTTTTCGAGGTAGAACTCCACATATGCCTTTTAAAAAGAAAACATCCTTTTGAAAAGACAATCATTTTATGCAGTTAACAGGAAAAGAAGTATTTGGAGCATTTGATTTCATCTAGCTAATTTTTGTCACATAATTACAGGTTTATATCTAGTTTTAATTCTATAATAATTAAAATATGTTTTAAACGTGTATTTTTTTTATTACCGTTGAGTATTTTACTCTACAATCTTTAATTTTTGTTAAATTAACAAAAGGTATCTCATACAGCCACCTAGATTCTTTCAAATAATAAAGATCTATTGACGCAAAATCATAAAAATTAAAATATCTAGGAAAATCTTTGTCTGAGGGGTAGGCAACCTAATAACATGTTGAAGATATAAAATTCCGCATTGAACACCGGAAAAATATATTGGGTGTTAATTTAAAATATTTTTGGCTCCATTTAAAATAGGGGAGTAACTTGCTTTTAAAAGTGACTAATGTTCCATATTAATTTTGACTCACCCTGTATAACTTTTCGGGTCAAATTTCAATTTGGTTTAACATACAATGGTTACTGTAATTAAATATCAGGATATACAAGGTCAACTAAAATTTAGGTAGCTGTTACCGAAATTTAAAATTTACTCTTCATTTTCACAAAATGTGAAATATGTTAAAATCCTTAGATTTTAGGTATATGCTTCTCTTTTGGGGACACCCTGTATAATTCTATATATTTTTACAAAAAGCTTTCAGATAACCTACATATGCCGCCAAAATTTCATTTCGATTATAAACTGCCGTTCTTCTTGGAGCTTCCGCGGCGTATGAGAGGCGCCACCCTGTATTTCTGGGGTTGAAATATACCACCCTAAAAATATTGGCACCTATTTAAAACTCTCCCTGTATATAATCACGTTCGCAGGTATACCTGTGAATATGAATTCACGTTTTAACACAGCTCTAGACATTGTATTAATAAAATGTTTGTCTATTCAATATTCATTTGAATTGAAAAATGCTATTTTATTTGTGGCCTATGGTAAAAAAAGCTTTACGGAATATACACATGTTATTCAAATAAATTGTACTTGTAAATTATTTCTTCATCTATATTTCAGTTGATAGCAATGATTTTATACGATCATTTCCATTTTGCGGTACGAAACTTCCTGAATAACTAATATTTTGTTTTAGCTGAATTTATTAAAAAATCAGGGCTGCAATCAGAAATAAATAAATCACTAACAGTCGTCGCACTCTAAATTTTAGAAAAAATGAATATTTTAGGACACAATTGACTAAAATTTTAAAAATCAATTTTACAATTATTTTACTTGATACTTTAGTCACGTTAGAAAGAGTAGAAAAAATATTGTGCTGGGTTGGCGTTGGTTTCTATGTAATTTGACAAATAAATAAAGCTGTCTCTTTAGTTGTCAGTTATGAGTCATTTTTTTTATTCTCTTTCGTGTCGATTGCTGGTTGAATTGGAACCAGAAATGGCTCAAAACGAAATAAGTAAATTACCAACAGATATTCAGGCTGTGGCGACAAACGCCATATCCAAACTACTTCCATTTAAATTCCGAATAACTTATGAAAAGGAATACAACAATTTTCAAAAATGGAAGCAATTAAAAAACGTGCGAGAAGAAATACTGTTTTTAACCTATTCTCGCTGTTAAAGTATCATTTAATCTACCCTTGCGGTTAAAGTACTATTTTATCTACTATTTTTGATAGATATAAGGCAATTTTAACAGTTGCTATGGAAAAATAGTTATTTTTTATACAAGACGATAAAATGGTATTTTATCGTCGACCGAAAAAATTAGTGAATTAATTTCAGGAGATAATAATAATAGCTCCCATATATAGCGTTTAACGCCTTGGAAGTAGCAAGGTACGGCTTGCCATGCTAGACCCGTTCTGTATACAAGGAAGGTAATGTGGCTAGCACTCCGCTTCAACCGCCTATTATTACCTCAGGATTGCGAATCCCAAGTACTCATTTAAGGCTGAGTCGACCTAGGTACCCAAACTATTTTTATTTTAATAAAAATAGTCGGCTGACGAAATGCCGGGTGTGGGATTCGAACCCACTACCTTGAGATTGGTAGACGAGAGCCTGTACCTCTGCGCCACCGGGCACCTTGTTAATTACGGGAGATGATAATGCAATTTTATCGTCGTGTATAAAACAATATTTTTTTCCATAGCGAGTTACGCTTTAAAAAATATTCAGAAATTATTATTTCAAGGAATTTATTACGAGTAGAAAAAATATTGTGCTGGGTTGGCGTTGGTTTCTATATAATTTGACAAATAAATAAAGCTGTCTCTTCAGTTGTCAGTTTTGAGTCAATATTTATTAATTCTCTTTCGTGTCGATTGCTGGTTGAATTGGAGCCAGAAATGGCTCAAAACGAAATAACTAAGTTACCAACAGATATTTAGGCTGAGGCGACAAACGCCATATCCAAACTACTGGCTCAACAATTTTGATTGGCTCTAAACTACTGCCATTTAAATCCCGAATAACTTATGAAAAGGAATACAAAAATTTGTGTGCGAGAAGAAATACATTTTTTAACCTATTCTCGCTGTTAAAGTATCATTTAATCTACCCTTGCGGTTAAAGTACTATTTTATCTACTATTTTTGATAGATATAAGGCAATCAGTGCCTTCTATTAAAAGATCAGCCTACAGGCGAGATTTATGACGTCACGCTAGTTAGATATAACGGATTAATAAATATGTTGTAGAATACATGGAAAACATAATTATTCCTCAGATTTTTGGTTTGTATTTTCAAAATGATATAGTTTAAATGAAATATACATAATATACAGTTAATAACTACAACATATATACCTATTTATAGTAATAAATACTTTGGCAAATAAACTATGAACCATACAAATGCAGCCGCTTCAACCGCCCTATTATTACCTCAGGATTGCAATCCCAAGTACTCATTTAAAGGCTGAGTCGACCTAGGTACCCCAACTATTTTATTTTAATAAAATAGTCGGCTGACAAAATGCCGGGTGTGTGGATTCGAACCCACTACTATGAGATTGGTAGACGAGCCTGTACCTCTCCTGCGCCACCGGGCACCTTGTTAAGTACGGGGAGATGATAATGCAATTTTATCGTCGTGTATAAAACAATATTTTTCCATAGCGAGTTACGCTTTAAAAATATTCAGAAATTATTATTTCAAGGAATTTATTACGAGAAAAAATATTGTGCTGGGTTGGCGTTGGTTTCTATATAATTTGACAAATAAATAAAGCTGTCTCTTCAGTTGTCAGTTTTGAGTCAATATTTATTAATTCTCTTTCGTGTCGATTGCTGGTTGAATTGGAGCCAGAAATGGC